GCATTGCAAGCTATTGTTAATTTTCGTTGCATTGACTGAGCTACAGCTATCATTTTCAACTGAGTGATAGTCTTCTTCTGAATATTTTCTGTTCAAACCTGTCCTTAGTCCGCGGTTATGCCTTGCGAGTGCCTTGGGCCGGACGCATAGTCGGTCGGACGACAGCAACGATCTGTAAGTGTCGCACAGCATTGGATGCGTATCGATCGTCGGACTTGCCTGAGTATTCGACGATTAGATGCAGTTAGACAGTCAGACAGTTGCGATCGTTGCTGTCGGACGACCGACTATGCGTGCGCCCTTGGAGTTCGATTTTTGTTAGATTGTGGTGGATACACATTAATACGACGATCATAAGACCGCGTGATACGTCTACTCCAAAATCGCAAGCAATGAATACGGCCGTATTTTTGTTGTATAAGCATTCTAAGTCTATGTTTTCAGGCTTTCGTATACGAGCTTCGAAACCATGGTGAGTTCTTTTTGTGATTTATGCATTTTTTTCAAACTTATTTGTTGTCGGATTTCAGGGCGACGTTGTTACGATCAGAACGAGGAAAGTGCTTTCGAACCGCCTCCTTTACAGGAAACAAATGGTTTGTTTTCTCTGCACTCAGGCTTTACGATTTCCAATTTACTTTTTGGATCTTATGTTTTTGTGTTCATTTTATGTAAAAATTTAGTCGTGAATCCGACAAACTTGTCGTTTTTTCCTAGGATTAATGTGGGGCTGGAATTTGAGTTTAAATCAGTAAAATGAACCTGTGATGATGAGAATGTAGAAATATTCGTAAAATACCCTCATCAGAACTAGCAATGCTTCCAGTGTAATCCTGGTTTTTAGTCTTTTTTTTTACCCTTCCATGTTCTTGATGGTTGCTTCGGTGCCTAGTAATGGAAAATGAATGGTGCGAGAGGATATTTCGTAATCTTCAAAGCTTCCTCCGTTTGAGAGTTACCGTACAAAGATCATCTAGATGGTAACGTGTTCGGCTGTTGTACACAACATTACCCTGGTGGCGATGAAAGTGGAGATGTTTCTCTACTTGACCATAAGGAATTGCAGGTTACTGTGATGGTTTTGCTAGATGCCTTTATAGGAAACGCCCTTGAATAGTGAAAAGACTGAGTTGACATATCTCAGTTATAAATTTACCAAACTTAGGTCGTGCAGTTGCACTGCAGCAATCAGGCGCTCGTAGGCTTTACTTTTGTCATTGGGATCGAATCAACTGTGATTTGGTCTGCTACAGGTTGTTATCACTCTTTCTTTTTTATGAAGTCTTCCACCTGTTAGCTAGAACCATGGATTCTTTCCAACTGTATGTCTTTTTCAAATCCTCTGTCGTGAATTGCAACACTTGGTTTTATGACAGCAAATTCTGAATATTTTGCTCGTGAAGTCGTGAGGAAATTCATTTAATGAATATCCTTTCTACATGATTTTTCGTCTTCCATTATAACATTGTGTTTTATGAGCCGAACATGAAGCGTTTTGGAATTTGCAGAAATACACATTTTTTGAGTTTTGAAGCGAGGTTTCTTCAGAAGGATGGGCCAAGTGGGAATTAAAGCTGCTATAGTTATCTGCGTTACGGATATATGTCTGTAAGAAATGTGTCATGTTTTGTTACAGTTGGTGTGTTTATTAAGTGTGGGTGGACATATTGCATTGGAAATTTGGTTTCAAAATTTCACCTCAGTAGATTACGGGTAGGAATCAACTGTATCCTGTCAATTGAACGTTTGAGACTTCTATGCCGGGAACAACCTCGGATGGGTCCTGTTATTCGTAAATTTTTTTTTCGCTAATGTTTTTTCTTTAGGTTGTCGAAGTTCTGCACCCTGGACGAGCCACAGTTCCCAAAACTGACATTAAGGAGAAGATTGCTAAGCTGTACAAAACGACCCCTGATGTCGTCATTCCTTTTGGTTTCCAGTCAGCTATCGGAGGCGGAAAGACAAAGGGATTCGCTCTTGTCTATGATACTCTAGACTATGCAAAGAAATTTGAGCCCAAGTACCGCCTCATCCGCGTAAGTTTTTTAAGTTAATCAAAGTACTCTGATGGTCACCGTTTGTTTTTTCAAGCTTTGTTCATGATAAACCAATAATTGCCTCTCGCGGATTTCACTTTTCCTGGAAACGCTGCACCTATAGCACATGTGTTCCATTCCATTTCGCGGTTCTAGTCTTCTAATTTAATTAGCGGTTGCTTTCTCCTTTCCCCACCTTGTGCGGCTCTTGTGAATTATGCTAATTGGATGTTTCATATAGTTGTTGAAAGTAGATAACAAAAGCCCATTCTAATACGACAATACATCTTTCCTATTTTATAGGCGAGTTTTCTTGTCGTTCCCCATCACAATTGTGGTTTTTGCAGACAGGGCGGACATATATGTATGCACACCAATATTTAGACAAACTATCATACAAAGTTGTGGTTTGTAAGGTAGCGTGGTATAGGGGAGCACTGGTTTCTGTAGTCAAGGTGGAAGTACAAATATCAAAAAATATTTCGTCGAAGCGTCCAGGAACACTTATCCAAAGCCTGGCGACAGCCTATGTAGTACTTTGATGGGTGGTTACAATATTTTCAAAGAAGGGTTCATATTAAGTATCATGTGATTCACCGGCTGTAGCCGAGTTTCCTTTTTCACTGCCTAACATATGCGCCTTACTGCGTGCTCCATTCGATGCGGCCTCACCACGTTGGGAAAGGAAGTGGTCTGGGTATAGGGGGAGGGGTCGTAGTCGCTTCCGAAAACTGCTCTGAGCTCACAGCTCAAGACCAACGAACTAATGAACACCT